CAAAGATAGGCACTCTGTGTTGAATAAAAATAAAAAAAACCAAAATTTGTCGGTCTTCCGTTTGTGTGTGTATTCAGTTCTGACGTTTGTACGCTTTCAGACCTCGGGGCACGGCTTGTTTCCGACGTGGATTTAATTTGAAGCAAAAAAAAAAAAACCACCCCATAGCCGTTATTCGATCGAAGTTTGCTCCGGTAGAGACAAGTATACCTACGCCTATCTGGCAAAGTTATCAAAGTAAGCGGTAACTTTATTTTAACAGTTGACTACCTTACGCACGTCATCGAGATAGGATTATAATGAGAGAAAAAAACAAATATCAGTTTATTACAACGTGTACTATATACCGTGAAACATTTAAATAGCGCTGCAACTCACATCCCATATTTTAGTATCTCATTAACATAAACATTATATGATTTCCAACGCCCGCTCGTTTCTGCTAGAAAAACACGTTTTCTATTGATTTTAACTATAAATAAAGATTTTGTAAAATAAAAAAAATATCAATACCGAACAGTTTTACAAATAGGTTGCTCGTGTAAACGATTAGTATGACTATTTTGCCAAAGCCTCACGTCATATACACCTTTTTGTAACAGTAAATTTATTTTTTGACTTGGAACTTGGACATTAAAACAGCGAATTGATCCGTAAATCAGGGTAAGTACTTCATAAATAGCCGGGGGTGTAGTATATCGAGTTAAAAATTATATTAAACCATCCTTATTCGCCCATTGGATTGCGTAACGAATTTCTAATTGCTTATCGATCCTTTCCTAGTACACTTCCTTAAACATTCAATCGTGTCGCGCCAGTGGACAATTTAAATTTGTAATTTGAATAGGCCGTCACACTGTCTTTTTTTGTGTATTAATTATATTTTACCAGTGCGCTGTTAAATACTCGGTTAAGTTATGCGGGTTTTAAATTAGAAAACGCTTTTTTGTCTTTAATTACATTTTTTGTTCAAACACTACACCGTTACCGTTTTTTTTTATGGTTATAGTAAAGAATTTAAAAAATCTCTTTTGACCTCGACCCTCTTGCATATTTATATCTCACCGACGTTATTATCTGGTTTTTTTTGTTTTCCTCTAGGGTTATCCACATTTTTCTTTTTTTTTTTTTTTGTACTTTTTATATATATAATTTTTCTCCGAAAGTTATTTCGCTGAGTTTTCGCATATTTGTACTTGCCTGGGAAACTCCTAAATAGGATACATGCCCCGGGAAAAGGGCCAGTTTGTTGGCTGTCAAACGAGAGCAGGTATAGAAAATCTAGTTCGGGTGGAAACAGGCTTACACCGACTAACGAGCGCGCCGAGCAACGAGATATATATATATATATATATATAATGGTTGGATCATAATAATATGTAACTGTGTTATCTCGATAAATTATTGATAATATGCACGCCGGTAACAAACTGCTGTAGCTGAAGACGATTAGATGATTTTTTATGAAAACGTGGAACGGCCGGCAAGGATGAGGAGAGAAAGCCGGTCCTACTGTTATAGTATATTACAGATACTCAGGAACCCTATAAATTATGAAAGGTATATTGTCGGTTGATTCAAGTGGTCTAATTTATGCAGCAGCTGTAAGTTCGTGCAATAACATCTGGACAAATATAGAGTATATATATACATATATGTATATTCTTTAACCCTAGTACGCAGTATGCTAGGTGTATACGGCACGACCGTCGCGCCATGGAAACAAATTAATTTACATATACATTTAATTTTTAATTCAAGGCGATTCAACAACCTGTAACGAAATAATTATACATAATGATAGGACATAGCACGCGGCCCATCACAGAATTAATGCCACAAAAAAAAAAAAAGTAACGCGGTACGACGACGAGAAACGTGCGTGCGGTTTTTTTTCATTCTCGAAAACAAAAGTAAGAAATACAATTATGATAATCCGCCGTTCGAGCTTTCACTACCAAAACACCGGATTGGGCCTAACGGTTTTTTTTTTTTTTTTGGTTCTAGGTCCTAAGCTAATCGGCTAATGTCGCGTGCGTCGGTCGCCGAGCAACATGGAAAACTTTAATTGAAATTGTCGTTTGGTCGGTCCGAGCATCTCTTTGCCGTAATACCGCTTTTGTCCGCTTTACTGGATGAAAACACGCACCCACCGACCGCAATAATTCCAAAAATCATTTCTATTACCCGTGCATACAGGGTGGCCCAAAAGTATAATTATCACACAGACAGCAAAGCTTGGACAGCTGTTAATGCACGGAAAAGATATCGTGAAAATGTACTAAAAATATTGTTTGACCGTAAACAGTTTATAACAGTTCAATAAAATTTCGACCACACTTTAAAAATACGAGTATTTTTTGTGATGTACCTTTGTTGCATTCCAATTATTATAGTTGTGTATTGTGTCCTAAGAAATATTATTAGATTAATCGCCAAGTTGGCAAAAACTTAAAAACTATTATGTGATTTTTGTCAGAGTTACACAGTCGCTAATTAAAACTAGACATTAATACTGCAGGGGATGTTATTTGTCCATTTGTCTTTAAGTATTAAGGAAAAAATAATTACAAGGAAAATTTTATACATAATTCACTAACAACTAAATAGTATAATGAAATTTAATTTACACGACAGTCCTCTACTACATTGCCGCCTATAGTGCCTAACGGGATCGAGTTAGAACTACAACGTGTGTATGGTCCTAACGTACCTAAAAAAATTATGTAAATTAATATGACCGTGTAAAACATCCGGTTAGAGGAAACGGCCTGGTGAACAAACCTAAATGTGTTTCACACAATACAACAGTAGTTGAGTAAGTATATGGAAAAAGCTTCAATATCCATCAAAATAGGACACGTTGTTTAATTAGTTTTAAAAAATAGTGTTATATTGCGCTTATCCGAATCAAAATCTATGTTATTTTTTTATCTTAACAAAATTTTTTGGCGACATATTAACATAATATTTAACGAGTACGGATAGACGAATGCTAGAGCACATACACAAATACACCATGTTTTATTGCAAGACAATGTATGAATGTTAAAGTTTTTTTTTTTAAAACAGATGATCTTTAAAAAATAAACTCAACTTTTACTGACAAAATTATACTTTAAAAAAACTATATATTTGTTAAAATGTATACATCTTATTTTAATGCAGAATATTATTAAAATAATGTATATGCACACAAACATTGTGTGACAGTTTGTCTAGCCTAACCATCTAAAACTAATTTTAATGTCACGGTTTACCGACTTTGGCTGTTGATTTCTGAGGGGAAAATACAATTAAAATAATTAACTTGATTTGTATGCCCAGTAAGTGGCAGGAAATTAAACATGATTGAAATTTATGCTTTCCTCTGCTCGTTTTATACCCAGGTTAAATACATATTATAAAAATGTATAACTAGACAACGATATTTTTACAAGTAATTTGTGTTGGCGTTTAAAAATTAATTATTATTCTGATAATATTATAGTGTATGTACTTTGTAATGTTAATGCGGTCGGTTATGTTCCCGTTTCCCGGAATAACTGACAAACAAGCACTCGCTGTTAGCATGAATTGAATTTAATGAGTTTTCATATTTACAAACATTGTCACTGTGAAATAGTTCACTTATTAAACAAAATTAATAATGTTATTTAATTTGAGGTGTACCAATTTCGTGTACCTTTCTCTGTTTTTGTATTTATATATAATATATATTATACATATTGAACCGTTTCTATTATTATAATTAAAATCCGCATTAGAACAAATATTCAAAGACTAGTAGCAGTGTAAGTATTATACAATCACTGCAGGACGGCGATCACTGCACTGTTATAAACGAAAATAAGGTTTGAACCTTATTTAGAAGTAGTTCTTTGTATTTTTTAACTGATAAATGATAATTAGTTAGATTTTTTAAATATTTTTAATATGTAGTGGTTAATGTGAGGAGAGATAAATACAATACGAATCAACTCCCCCCATATCTGCAAATACGCTATCGAATGTTAGTTATAGTCACAGTCACAAGCAATAGAATTACTTTCATACCAACGGTATAAGTAAATAGTTTTTTTTATCGTTTAAGCAAAGAAATAGAGGGCTGTGAAACGAAGGAGATGGTAGATGGGTGCGTTTGCTCAACCCTAATTAACTAAAAAACCGTCCTGAGGTTGGATCCCTTTTTTGATCAGATTATTCCAAATGACAATTATTTTTAGGCGGTTGAGTTCACCATACGACGACAATTGGGTCGGTCATTATTCTCTAGTATCTGCCTAACAAAAAAAATCATTACGGGTCGACTAATGCACCCGTGCTTGAATACAGTAATAATAACGGCATCATTATTATACTATACGAGAGGAGCTGAACTAATTTGCGTATTTACAATATTTGATAAACCTTTATAGGCTCTAATTAAACAATAAGTAATTTCAAGCTAACATAATTTCATAAGGTTATAATAAATACAATTTAAATAGGGTTTAGCGTATTATTGCGAATTAATGAGAAACATTAATACGCTAAACCCTAAACATTTTTATTTTTAATATCGGTCTAATTCGACCGATTACATCTTTAACGATTGCTTTGGCAAAGACATTTCTAGAAAATAGCCGGGGTTTGCTTTCGAGTTAAACATATTATAAAAAATATGTATTTGAAAACCCTAAGGACGACAGTTGTAAAGGGTTAGAGCTCCCGAGGGACATACTATCAATCGAAATGTTCTAAGTATTTATCATCGGATAGTGTGCCTGTCTAGGTGTAAAATGTAAATAATAAACGTAACAGTGTGACTTAATATGACGTTCGAGCGGTGGAGAATATATTTTTTAGGGAAACGATACCGCCAGAGACATCTATCGATCTGGCCGGTCTCCGCCGAGTTGCCGTCGCCACCGCTGTTTCTGCTGCCGGCATTCCGTCCCGTGTGTCTATATGACTTGCGTTCTAAACTTCTACCGATCCCCACGTACCCACGCCATACATTAACACACGAACACACACACAGACTGACTCACTGTAAAACACAAACACACACACACACACATAAGGCTTGCGCCGCGTTCACCGTTGGTACGGGCCACGGGGGAAAAAAACATTCAGTCAGAGCGTACTGCCCGCCAATGCTTGTCTGTGTGTTCGCCGCCGTCAGTCAACAATATTGGTTTGAAAATCCAAAAGTGCGATCCTTCGTCTCGGTTAGTTGCTCGGTTCGTCCCGATAGATTTCCCGGCACTCGGCAGTGTCCTGCCGTACGAATGAAGTCCGCAACCCTTGATTGAAATCCCGGTGTAGGGTTCTGGAAGTCCGGGAATAGCGCCATGTCTACGGAACAGGATGTCAGGCTGATTTCGCTGGTCCGAGATCGCGCGTTGATCTACAACAACGCGTGGAAGGATCGACGGTGCGTGGACAACCTGTGGCTGGAGATCAGCCTGCAAATGAGACTGCCAAGTAAAACACATATAGCATGTTTAATTTATTCGCATAACGATTGCATAATATTATAGTGTTCAACCCGTTCGAATGTAGTTTGATATTTTCAACTCTTCGAATACCTATTGTTTCGTTATGAGCAGTGCCGTAATCAGAGAAAATTTAGAGAGGGGGTGGTGGACATCACGCAAGTGGTACACGCCACCAACTTGTTAAGGAGTAAAGTACAGAACCCGCAAAATCATAGTTTAAAGCTAATACAGTAACGAGGATTCTTTATTTCTATAATACAAAAGTTAGCATATTTCAATGAAAGGCGATTGGGTGTAAAGCGGCAACTCATACTGTTGTCGGTTCGACAATCAGTCACGGGCGGTCTCCTCTCTCTAGGCAGGTGGTTGTTAGAAGAAAGAAACTTCCGTCTTCCTCCGAGGCGACCCCGAACTTAGACCTATTAAGCCTACTTTCAGACAAAAAAAACACAATTCGGTAGTTCTCTTTTACGCCACAAATAATTAATCTCATTATGAAAAATATTAACATCATATCTACTTCTGATCTGCGTACATAACACAACGTGTGTATTTAATTTGTAGTCTAGTATTTTTCAGGGCCAAATCAAGTTATCCGTAGGCTCAAGACTCCTAGGCCCTGGAGCATCCGTTTAATCTAGCACCCAAAGCGACTATTTTTGTCTTGATAGAAAAAACATGCCTTAAAACATAATATTATGCATTAACAACACGCACGGAAAAATAAACTAAAACGAATACGCACCTGTGCATAGAACAAAATACGTATTTGGTCCAACTAAAATTATGATTAATATAGTCACAATATATTTCTAGTTGGAATAAATAAATAAATAGTTAGCTCAACTAAAAATTTAGTAGGCCGTACTAAATGTATAGCTGCTTTAACTAAAAGTTTAGTTGGACCAACTATGTATTTTTTTATGTGCGCAGGTGCATATTCGTTTTTATTTGAATAAGGTACACAGTATTACCTATCTATCTATCTATAAGTAGCTAATGTTAAAACATTTGTGGCGTGTATGGAAGGCCGGAACCTTTGGGTTATTTTTTGGTCTACAGTTTTGGCGAGGGCTGTAGCCCCCCCCTCCCCAGAATTTTAACCCTAGTTGCGCCTATGGTAGTTACCTTCATGACCGCACTTGGTCATGACTATGAGTCACATTTTCTATATTATACCCTCTAATACTCTAATGCTCCTTAGGGAATAACGTCCAAGATTTGTATAAAAAATAAAATCAATAAGAAATCGTAAAAGAAGAAACGAGTTAATTATTTTACAGTCATGAACTATAATATCGGTTAAAAACAAATTATGATGTAATATAAGCCAATTTGCACAATATACTTGTTAAGCGTGTAAATCCTAAATAATTAACTCACTTCATTTGTGCAAACTGGCTGCACAAAAAAACCACGCATTAATAAAAAATATGTTAATTTGACTGTAGCTGAACAGAAAAGTAATTAAACATGGGTACTAATTATTGGAATTTGTATCATAATATTTATAACTATTTAAATCAAATGTTCTGTTTATCAGAGCCTGCACGCGGCTACATTCGTAAGCAACGGTAGATTTAAATTAATATATTATTATATTACAGTGTTCGTGTTTGTATTTAATTATTTAATCGACAACTCGTTTATTACATTATGTAGCTAGTGCATAATGTCTTAACAATGTAAAGTAACACTATATGTTAACTTAATTAGAACGATTTTAACGTTTAATGGGTGCGGGTAATACCACAACCAAGGTGGATCAATTTTGACTAAAAGTTAAAACACATACTCTATTATTACATCTATTATCTATCATACTATAAGTAGGTTAGGTTTGCAATTTAATTTGTCATATACGTGAAATTATCGGTTATAAGCTATTATTCAGTAAGCATCATAATATTACAACTATTAATCTGCAAAAGAATGCCTAATTATTATGAACATGCGGATTTCATAAATGTTAATTCGTAAATTGTTTTCTAATAATTTAGCAAAAAATAACACTTGTCTACAGTGTAGTGCAATAAACAATCAAGTTTTTTTTTTAAATTTATATGTAATGTTTAGTATTTTAAACTAATTAGTAAATTACTATTGACTTGTAATATCATATCAAAAACTAAATGTGATTTTTTATTGTCATTTTCTCAATGAAAATTATGCCAAAATCTACAATTTACAAATACAAATACGGCATAGGTACATACATAACAACACCGTTACTATTATGCCTAAAGGTTAACAACGTTGTAGCTGGTTGGCCATACCTAATTTTACATTAGGTACTTATGGGTATTAGCGTTAAGTAAATAAGTCGGTACGGTATATATGTGCAATTTGTGTAGTCAATGTTCGCGACACTCACAACTTACATAGTAGGTATTATATTGTAAAAAAAACGAATAAAAAAAAAGTGTCGGAAATGCCATACACAGTGTTTGGAAGGAAAGTGGGAAGTGTATAATATTATATTAATGATACAAAAGTGTTTTACTCTGATAATATCGTTTTCGTAAATACTTAAAAGCTCTAAGCACGACACGTGTATCATCCAAACGGGTATTAACGACAGTAACAAATGGTGTTGATAAAAACTACATAACAAATTAATGGGCAATTTTTAAGGTGGATGTACGTATTAAAAAAGAAACAGCTATCGATTTAAGGTGATACTGTTGACTAGCTTCGCCACGTAGTCATCAATTTATTATTGATAAATTGTAGTATGTTATAAGATATATTATGGAAGAAATTGTAAAAAAAAAATTCCTTCAGAGCTCCGCATCGAAGGTAAAATGCAGTTAAAATAGATGTTTTAATGTTTTCTGTAAAATATTTGAGACATAATGTAAATACTAACCTCGCTTTAATGAAATATTATTTTTTTATTTAATTAATTCCAGTTCCATTTAAATTTATTGTAAATTGAGATATCTAACAAGGAGGAAATTAATACAACTATTCAATAAAAAAAAATTATAGTTCATTATTTGTATCGCAGATAGTTTATGTTAGTCATTTATATATATATGACTAACCAATTTAAACTATTGTTTGCTAAAGTAATGAATAATGAGTAGATGATCAATAATAAATAAGTAATACCTAAGTTTATTATAATACAACATTTTGTCTTCATTGGTAACCATTTATCATGCGAACTTAGTACCTACATGACGATTCATAGTACTTTATCATATTATAATTTATAATATACGTTTTTCCCGTATCTCGTGTGTTTCTTAAAATATAATAATTATTAACTAATTCTGAATACGTGAATATAATTCATCATCATCATCGCATAGCTAATAGTATTGTTATTTTCACCTTATGCATGTTTGTCTGCTTGCGTGTGTGAATACATTGTTTTTAACAATTGACTGTTTAGTTTACAACTCATAAACTAAAAATGTCATGGTGTACTTCAATATTTCTCTTACGTTATTCATTTAGAAAATTAAATTTAAAAAAAAAAAATCGAAATTCCTTATTTATTTACTGCAATGTCAAAAATAAAAATAGAACCCTATTTGCATAATGCATTTTTTTAATTACTTATAATAAACTGGTGTCCATTTACTTAACGAGCTTAATATTGTAATAGTAACTATTTATTAATTGTCATGATACATAAAATAAGGTTTTATGAAATTTGCAAACAGTAAAAAACAGTTTGTAAACACATAATCCAATTTATTTGTGTTCCAACACAGGGGATTTAATCAATTAAATGGATTGCACCACTTGTGAATGTTTAACCAAAAATGTATTCAGTGTTTAAAGGTTGTACCGCATTTTCAAAGATATACTTTAAATATTTGCGTTCTTGACCAACATTTGCGGTTTTTAATACATTTTTTTTTAAGAAAAACAAACATATTGTAATCTATATATTATACTATAGTAAACATGGTTCGTTGCTATATACTTTTCCCGTCTTGGGCACACACACAGACGCCCTTTTACCTCTTCTTATAATGACATTTTCGTTCTTAGAACTCTCTTGATATAAAACCATATGCATATTATAAGATATAGTATTTATAATGATACATTTAAAACAAGCTTAAGTTTTAATAAAAAAATGCGAAAAAAAATTAGGTTTATAAGTCTACTTTAATATTGATAAAAAATGGCTTAAAGTATTTAAAACATAAAAATGTTAAACAATTTTCAGATTTATATCTCTATTCGAAACTTTTCCTATTTTATGGCTGAGCTACTTTGCATTTAAAATCTGTTTTTTGTTTTATTACCTAGCTGAGCTAGCTCGAAAAATGTTTATAGAAATAATGTCTGGTCTTAGGTTCCAAAAATTAAGCACTGTGTTTTCTAAAAGTGTGTAAAAACTTTTTGTTTTGAGCATGAAATCATTTTTGGAATTCATATCATGGTTTTTTAATAATGGTAGATATGCAATTTAGTTTTTGTTTTTTAATACAAGTACCAAATGTATAAGAGTTTATTGGACATTTTATGCCCCGGATAACTTGCAATACAAGTTTCAAATGTTTAGTTATACCATTTGAAGAGCTAACAATACTCGAATTACAACGTATGGAGGGAAAACCCTTAACATTGTAGTACATATTAAATTACTAATTTTAACAAATTTTAACAAATTTCAATTTTTTTTTTTTTTAATCCAGATTTTATTTAATTTATATACCTTATTTGTTGCATATGTAACTTTTTAAATGGAAACACAAACAGTGGCAAGGTTAAAACTTTATAAGCGCCATTTCAAAACACAACAACCTACACCCACCTATTATTAAAAAATAACGTTTTTCAAAAGTTAAAAAAAAAAAAAATATTGTGTCATTGTCAGTACCTTAGATTTGCACATTGAAAATAAACCATTTTAGTTTTTAATGTAAACGATTAATGAATAATAAATTCTTAAATATTTCATTCTCAATTAACACTAACTTACCTACATCACTAAGAGCTGACAAAATCTAGATGTATTTTATTGTAGTGTTTAATTGTGTTTATGCCATACAAGAGTTATATAATTCTATAATATATTTCCAAAATAATTTTTATAAAAAAATATATACATGTATTATTTTCAAGACATCAATTACATTTTTTTATAATTTGGAATTATTGAAAAACAGTTCTCTTCAAAATTGTTTCGGGGGCTTCTATGTAAACACTAAAACCGCGTAAAACGTTTTTTTGTATCTATTATTATATTATTTAATATACAGTCGCTAAAATCTGTAACATAAAAAAAAAATCTATTTTGGAATTCGAGTCGAAACTAGTTTATCCAAAGAAACATAAAAAAATACACGACTAAAAAAATGTAAAAACCAATATTACAGTTAACCGACATGATTAATCTAATTTTACTATACTCGCTTCTAAATAATGAGATTATTTAAATTTTCAAATAATTTGATTAGCAAAATTATAATTCTATTTCGTCATTCGCCATTAATTTTAGCTAATAAATCATTTTCATTTCAAATAATATGATAATAATTAAAGAAAATTAATGATTTTATTCCGGTAAACACAGCTCACACATTATCTACATTTATTATCAAATGACCTACAAAAATGTTTTTAAAAGTATTTTTTAGGGTTTTTCCTTAAACACTAAATAAACGTTTTTTTTTAAGACAAAGAATACAAACAAATGTAGGTAAATATTATTTTCAATGCAAGATTTACTTTTAAATTGAGTACATTTCAATTAGAATGTTATTAAATTAAGTCTGTCGATAATTAATTTATCGACTACGGCTCTTATGAAAATCTAGACTAATTGTTCATTAAAGAAACTCAACAAATCATAAGCTACACTAATGCTATTAGTTAGCTGTTCCTCGCTTATAATTTATTTTCCTACTAACTCTGTTTTTTTTTGTGCCATTTTTCTGTCGCTTTTAACTTATCCTTTGAAATTTATATTTGATTAACCTTTCGTAATTCACAGAATTCCAATATTTAGCATCGGCAAAAAATCTATAAAGACACGTTTTTCTTTATTGATTAAATTTTTTTTTTGTCGACATTTCTAAAGGAGACTATGGATAAATCAACAAACACTGAACTCTGCAGTTGTCAGTACTTGCGTCCAAGTATCAAAACGGTGTTTTAAAATTATATATATATATTTCAATCTCATGTAAATTAATTATATGGTAGATTAAATTGCCTTTTAACCGCACGGTAATTACCAACGTACGTCGCGTCAAATGAAAGTATAGATTTTCCAGAACGAGTGGGAATGAACATTAACGTTTGTTGTTTAATCAACTGTATTGTCGATGCACAGTAGTATAAAATACTCATTGTAGGTTAGTTTCAATATGAATTAAAAATTAAAATTGTTGTTTAACAATTGACATAGACCACATAGCACCAAATACTAATTATTATATGTTTGAATTTAATTTACATAGGTAGAATTTAAAAATTTAATGATTTAATAATGTAGTTAATTGTTTATAGTAATATATATCACCTGATTATGCCATTGTTAGTTTTGCATTTATATTAGTATATTTTAGTTTATATATTTATATTGTCATTTGTTTAATTTTATAAGTTTCGTTATTATTGTTTTTTTTCTCTCGAGTACTGTATTTGGGTAAACGGCCGTTATGTCATTAAATAAATAAATAAATATAGGAATAATAATAGTGATATGGACTTGACATTTTGGACAAAGTTTTCCCAAAAATGTTGGCAATGATCTTAATTGTTGTAAGGAAATTTATATCAACAATATTTCCATCGAATCAAATTCCAACATCTATTATCTCTTTTTTTTTAGTTAGCAAAAACAATATTTATAAAAAGATATTCTTAACTGCCGGTTTAAAGAAATCATTTAGGTACTTAGGTTCTACGTTTTTTTTTTATTCAAAGAGTTCTATTTGAACTTTTATAGCAATCATTAAAAAAAAAACTAATACCTATTGTAAAAGTGACATGTAAGATGTTTAATGAAACTACTTTAAAATAAAGATTGCATAATTGTAATTGAATTTTGATCATCGATTTTCTAATTAGGTATATATATTTGAACTAACAGCAGTTTATTTTTGTTATTAGCGGAATTATGTAAGAGGAAATGGACCAACTTGCGTAACACGTACGCCAGACACATTCGTGAAGAAAAAGCAGGATACATATACGACGGCGGTCGTAAACCTTGGTACTTGGCAGAGAAAATGTCATTCTTAAAAGACTACATGCATAACAGGTGAGGTGATCTGAACTAAAAGTTTGATGGTTATTAGAAAAATCAACTATAAAAGAAAAAAACTTGCCATTGACGAATATTATCAAAAAATTAGCTAAAAACTTTTAATTTCAAATATGCCCTATTAGAGGCGGTGCAATATAGCCGCGATAAGAGGTAAATGTCCCACTAAAATTTTGTTTTTTCTCACCAATCTCCATCTATAATTTATTATTATACATTTTTTAAATCAAATAATTAAAGAAACCCGAAATTCTTATCTTGTACCCCGTTATCGTGAAAACGTCATACCTATGTTGATAGAAAACAATTGCAATTTGTTACAGACCAAACTCTTTGGACGATTCTCAGTCGTCGTACTCGTGGTCGCCGGATTTCTCTGCCACCTCAGCTGGGAGTCACTATTTCCCGAAACGGGCAAAGTTGGAAAACGGGCGCGAGTCTCTTTCGCAGTTCGAAAGACTTTTGGCCGGCCCCAAAATCGACAGTAACCCGGACAACCAGGTCACGTGCACCGGGACGATCAAGGCCGAACCGCAGGACGGGTCCTATGCGCCGGAAGTGCAGCAAATCAACAGGCACGGGTCGAAAATGATAACGTCGTTGATATCCGGCGAGTCGGACGAAGATAACAATTCGGCGGAAGGGGCCGACGAAAATCGCAGGGATCCTTCCACCAGGTATTTTTTCAAGAGCATCATGTTGAACTACGACAAACTGTCGAGGAGACGGCGCCGGTTGTTCCAGCAAAAGATGTTGTACGGCCTGCACGAGCTGCTCAACGAACAGGAAGACGACATCCGGCAATCGCAGCGCACCGGTACAGACTTGTACCAGCACGGCCGGGAAGAATCCCGGGAAGGGCTTCGGTATTCTTCCGCCAATTCCCTGACCGACGACGCTACGCCCGAGTAGGAATAAATAATAATAATAATAACAGGTACCGCCGAGAATCTTGAACGAAACGCACAACATAGTACATTTGAACGCATTGTAAATAATATGAAATATAGGTTAGTATAAAAGCCCCCGTAGAACGTTCCTAAATATTATATTGTTACTGGCTAAACGGCTGGTGCAATGTAAACTATGTTTATGTACATAAAAACAACGACCAGGAAATGTAATATTTCTATGTATTAACATAAAAATACGCATGTAAAAAATTATTTTCCAAGTATATTATAATATTTTTAACATATTATAGTAGGTATATTTTTATTTGCGAAAATAAATTACACCTGTTATACTATCTACTCTTGTTATTAAAGAATCAAACAAATTCAGCTATCATGTCTCTTTTGGACTAGAAAATATTCGATTTGAAATTAGCCGCAAAACAGATAACGAGAAACGCGAAAAAGTTACAAAAAGACGAATCCAAAGAAAGGAGACAGTGTTGGCTGCACGTGATGCGCGGCCAACAAGACATTGCTCGAATACACGCTGAAAATGCGGTGCACAACCGTAATCAGAGCGTTGGCCTGTTGCAGCTGGGCGCCTCAGGGTACGGTCGAGCACATAGAAGCGGCAAAACTACAGAACAAGGTAAAAATGATGTACGCATATGAAGGGCACAGGGAAAGACGGTAGTTGTCACATTATGAAAATTTTGGAGTATAGCAAAAACAAAGTTCGTGAACTCCTCTACCTCTTACATAAGAGCTTAAAAAAAAACACATTAAATGCTACTCTAACAATAAATGTATTTATTTAAATAATCTATTGACATAAATAAAAAAAATTATTGGCATAAATTGAAAAAAAAAATGTTCATAATGTGACAACTACAATTTTTCCCCTGTGCCCTTCATATGGTTAAGATGACAAATGTCCAACGTGTACATTTTTAGGGAATTTTTCTCGGTTTAGTCGTAGAAGGGAAAAGGGTAAACTTTTTTTCATTTTTTAGCACAAAAGACTTTTAGTACAAAATTTGTTAAATTAAAGTTATGCAAATTTGTTAAAGAGTATTATGTAGTTGGATATTAGTTTACAAATATACGTTTTTGAAATATATTTTCTTTGAGCTAGAGATGTTATAAAAAAAAAAAAAAAAAACGTTCTGTAAAAACTTACAGTTTTAATATTTTCTATACAAGTGTTTGTAAGGCGCAATACACGATCTGGGTTATTATATATAATATATAATACCTAAAAATCAGTTTTTAAAACCAAATTTTATAGATAGCAATAAAATTTAATTTTTGAAGATCGTAGCGCCCTATAGAAATATATAAAATCTACTATGCAAAAATTACAAAAATATCAAAATAAAACTGTGTAAAAAATTTTTTTTCAGTAAATCGCTTTTGTAATACAACTACTATACGTCATATCCATGTCGCCATGCATCTTAATTTGGAGGTGCCTTAGACTCCAGACACAAAAGACCCCCCCTCCCCCAATACATCACTATGGCCATTGATTAAAATAGTTTTTTTAAATTATTATACTATAGATATCTTCGGCAATAGAGTCTGTAGTGTTTTCAATGGCCGTGGCGACACGAGCTATAAACATTCCTTCACTAACTCACACTATAGATAAGTTCGAGAAGATGACAGACTATTTGGACACGCGCCATTCTTATGCAGCAGAAGCCTTGTCCGGTAATCAACAAACAGGATCGGATCAAGTGGATCAGCTCATGGCCAATATCATTGAAGAAGCAAGGCTGGACATGAAAAACGCAATGCCCAGTCCAGAACACACACTGGTTATCCCTCCATTGCCGTTGCCTCCATCGGACACTGAACTCAACGAGAAACTCGCCAACTTAAGAAATAACTCTACCATTAAATGCACAAAAATTCAAAATTAATATATTTTTATTCTATAAATCGTCACATGTATTGGCAGTTATAATTTACGTACATCATATAACTAGACACTAGGAACACATTTTTATTTTATTTTATTGTATATACATAATATATAAATATAATACCACATTTATAAACATTTAGAAAAAATAACTAGCTAACAAAGTATAAAATTTGTATCAAAAGTCTTGCTTGAAGAAATCATTTGTCACTTACTATGTCAAAGGATTATTTTTATACCTCCGAAAGGGTATAATATGAGGTTCTGAAACAAAATAAATAAACACTGTACGTTGAGTGTTTTCATAATTATATTGTTTTATATGAAATATGAAGAAATGGTTAATTCAGTTTTATTAATTTTATTTCTACTACGATAAACGTTTTAATAAATTAAGTGACTACTAAAAAATCCATTACTGTATAATATTTGACAATAACCTTCTGAAAAATTTGTATTACTATTTAGCAAAGTACTCCTATGGTTATTTTTATTTAAGAATATTCATTTTTAACTAAAATAACAATTTATTTAATCAAGTCTCAAAAACAGACAAATACATTAAAAGCAAAATAATATAGAAATATTAAGCCAAGGCTACAACAAAATTCTTTGTACTATTTATTGAATTTTTAACTTTAGTTTGTTAAGCATAGTCAAGCTAGATTTGGTGGAAGCAACATGTATTTTTTGAAGAAATTTAATTAAATTTTTTATAAAAAGCTATTTAAAAAGTGGATTGCATAAAAAATAAAATAAAATTGTTATGCAGTTTGAATAAGAAATTATAATAGGTTCAGGTAAAACAAAACAAAACTAACAAGGCATAATAAAAAAAAATTCAATCTTGATTATTAGTGATACATGATTTAATGGTTTCTAGTTAGGTACCGAGAAAAGATTAACATTGCACGTCATGATTTTATTAGTAAGTGTATAAAACAAATTAACACACTAGAATGAAATATTCTAGTGATAAATTAACTTCTGAAAACACTAACCAGGATTGTATCGCATATAGTGAACCCATCCAGATGTCATCTGGATGCCCAAATTTCGCCATTCTGTTTCGGTCATCAAATGAGTTTTGGGTACTTGTTTGGCTACATCTTCTGGTAATATAACATGTCTACATGTATAGTATAAAAAAAACATGTTATAATTTATAGAAAAATGTTTAAAAAAGAATACTTTATTTTATACTAAACGAATATCAAGTGAAAATTTCAAATGACCAAATAAAAAAAAAAAATATGTGGCAATAACCCAGGTTAGTTTTTAAAGAGGCTTTGCCTTTAAATTTTTATGGGTATAAGAAAACCCAAAAAAAATTCTACTTATACAATCTATTTTTTTGGGTACATATCAAATATTTGCTAGGCTTAAATAAAATGCCTGGTTTTATTTTTTGGTTTGAGTTTATGGTGTGAAAATTATTACGAAATAGTTGGCCATTTTTTTTTTTAGGAGAATTCAACACATTTTATTTTAAAGCCAACAAACTTTTTAAAATTTAGGACATTATTGACAAGAAGGGTTTAAATTTTTGAAAAAACCGTATCTACATTAAATATAGAAAAATGTTAACAAGTTGAATGGTTTATTGTTAGCTTGGTGGCCAATTAAACACCAATTATATTGAAGTTTAATAAATTAAAATATAGCAAGGTAAATATCAAAAAACTATAACTCTAATTTATTAACAAAACACGTTAAACAAGCTAGGCAAAGCTACGGTGTGTGTTGGGGTAGCTGCTGTCTCAGGACGCATTCTAATGTAGGGCGTTCATTACATCTACACGTTAACATGTAATACAGAGTAAAAAAAGTCTTGCCCAGGGTGCTTTAATCTCTAGTTACGCCACTGTAAACAAGCGACACAGATAAATTTGAATATTGTATTGGATGACAAATCTACTTCAAAAGTAAAATAATAATTCACAATTTTTTATTATGTATCCATGTCTAAAGGCTAGGATGAAAATTACACATTGTATGGTAAGTTTGTAAGTAATACAATTTTGGTACTTACCTGTAAATATAAATGTCGTCTTCGTATTTGGCCGAATACTGAATGTCTTCTCTTGGCATATCGGTGAAAATTTCAATCTTTATTATCTTTAGATATACCACTTAAAGTAATCATCAAAAAACGAATGAAATATTAGGACGGAGTCGTTAACAGAATAATCTCTAGGTTTAAATATTATTATGAGCAGCAATTAGCGTAACAATACCGTTGGCGGGCTGATGGCGGCAAATTAGTGATAAGAAACATATGACTGATAAGACCAAAACACGTGGTCTATGGAAATAATTGATAACGTTATCACTTATTTTTGAAAATATCAGTGATATAAATAATAATTATTAAAAACCGTTTAGAGTTAATTTATATTGTTTATTTGTTTTTTTCTTATTTTAATAGTAAATTAGTGCTATATTCAAATTATAGTTTTTGCACAGTCTAGTTGATCAACTGATATAATGTTGCGTTTTTTTTGTTCTAAACCTATCAACTTAAAAACATTGCGTTTTTTTATCGCTAAGTAAGTTTTCCCATTTAACTTGCTTGCTTTACCAACAATACTGAAAATACATAATGGAAATTTCATCATAACAGATCAACTACAAAATCCAATGTGACGTATACAAAACATATTAGACAATTTTTAAAGAAAAAACCTCCGTCCACCGTGACCACGACAAAATCAAAACTATCCCCGCTATGGTGTCTAGTGGGATTTTCTGGATATATTGGTTCAAGATATTTTAACAATCAACAAAATATTGCATTCTGTGAAAATTCTAAACTTGAAAAAACATCAAAAGAATATTTTGATTGGAATAAATTTCTATCATATTTATCTCCAGATACTTTCAATTTACTGACCGCTATCATTGTAAGTCCTTCTTCATTTGTAATGTTTTATGTTTTTACTTATTTAACTTATTTGTAATATGTTTTAGGCAGCGTTTATTGTAGCTTTGTGCAATTTAAGTATACCAATCAATTTACAACAAGTTATAAATACTGTTCTTTATTTTGTTCGTGAAAATATGCAATTCGATTTTAATCAAATCGCCAAACCGTTATCCAAACTTTTGGCGCTCTACTTAGCACAAGTATGATTGGTAGTTTTTTTCATTGGGATGTGATGCTCATTCATTACTTTTATAGGGAATTTCTACATTTGTTTGCATAAGTATGTTGTCCAAAGTAGGTGAGAATGTCGCTATTCGTATGAGATATGAACTGTTCTCGTCAATTTTACGACAAGAATTAGAGTTTTTCGACAAAACTCGCACAGGAGATATTTTACAAAGGTATTGTTACCGTAGCTGTCTTGTTTTTGTTAATATCTCCATTAAATATAAAAAAAAATTACTTTTGTTTTTAGATTAACTACAGATGTTCAAGAATTTAAAAGTTCGTTTAAAATTGTCATCGTGCAAGGTCTAAAAAATGCAACACAAGTAATTTAGGTTGGATAACTTTTTTTAAAATTAACAAAATAAATATATTTTGTTTTTTTAGTTGATCGGTGGAGTGTATACACTTTATCATACGTCACCGGAAATGACAGCAGCTGTAGCTATTATTCTCCCTTCCGTTATCGTTATCGGTACATTTTTTGGCTCTATTTTAAGAAAATTAAGCAGACAAGCGCAAGAACAAGTATGAGCTTTATGTAAAATACTTATGATTAATTGGTAGTAATAATTGTAAGTACATTATTATTTTTAGGGCACAAAAGCTACAATTATAGCAGAAGAAGTTGTGGGTAATATAAGAACTGTCCGTGCGTTTGCATCCGAAAATCAAGAATGTGAACGGTTCTTGGAAGAAATTGAAAATAACGGTTTATTACATAAAAAATTAGGCTACGGTATTGGCTTATTTCAGGTAATTTAAAAAAAGTTGCTTTCTTAAGTGTTTTTACTTAAACATCATAAATTAATTAAACAGCACACAACAGTATGTTTTATGTCATCCTAGGCAGGCAGTAACGTGTTCTTAAACGGCATTGTTTTGGGTACAATTTTTCTTGGTGGACAACTAATGACGACTAATAAATTGGATCCTGGACAGCTAATGTCTTTTTTAATGGTCACTCAAATGTTGCAACACTCGATGGGACAGTTCTCACTATTATTCGGTCATTACGTCAAAGGTGTTGCCGCCGGCTCCAGAATATTTGAGGTAAGCTATAATATTTCGTTTGCATTTTTTACGACAAATAACGATTTAAATTTTTTTAGTACATCAATAAAATTCCTAAATCTCCACTTGAAGGTGGTTTGAAAATACCGTATCATTCGTTCAAGCCTGAAATAGAATTCGAAAATATTACTTTCTCCTATCCAACTAGAGCGGATCAAGTAAGTCATATGTTTTCAGATGAAAATTTTAAATGTTTAACATAAATAATATTACAGATTGTGTTGAAAAATTTTAATCTTAAACTCCCTCCTGGTAAAACTGTAGCCGTTGTTGGCTCATCGGGAAACGGTAAATCCACAATTGCCGCACTGCTTATGAGGTAAATAAAATGTAATACTCTTGTTTTGGACATGATATAATATGCATTGTTTAGAGAGAACATATTCAAAACTTAATTCTCATGAACCGTTTGCAAAAATATTCAATTAAAATTTTTATTAAAATATTATTTTTATTGAAGAAAAAAAAAATAAAGTTATTTATTTTTTATCTATGATATTTTCTTGCCAGTTGATTATAACATATTTTGCATTTTGTACTTTTTTTTTAAGACTATTTTTCAAAAAAATGTAAACTCGATAACGCCTTAATGTTTTTGTAAAAATGCCAACGCATAAATTATAATACGGTCTTGATTATTTACATTTAGATTTTACGATGTCAACTTTGGCAGTATTAAAGTGAGCGGCGAAGACATAAAGAACCTCGACCAGACGTGGTTACGAAGGCGAGCAATAGGACTAATAAATCAAGAACCTGTGTTGTTTGCAATTTCTATTTTAGAAAATATACGATATGGCAAGCCAGAAGCAACCGACAGTGAAGTAAGAAAATTGATCTGAATCAGTATGATGACATTAATTTGTATTTGTCGAATGTTTATGTTAGGTGATCGAAGCGGCTAAAATCGCTAATGCTCATTCGTTCATATCATCTTTTCCAAACGGATACGACACGGTTGTCGGAGAGCGTGGTGTCACGGTATCGGGAGGACAAAAACAGCGTATCGCCATCGCCAGAGCAATACTCAAAAACCCGTACATACTCGTTTTGGACGAAGCCACGAGGTACATAATTTAGTCTTAAGATTAAATTGTCTACACTCTATAGACTACAACATTTCAATTTTTAATTTGTCTTCTCGCTCAAATAATAGTGCCCTCGATACTGAATCAGAGATGCAAGTCCAATCGGCTTTGGAATCTGTGTCAAAGGGTAAAACAGTTTTAGTGATTGCTCATCGACTAAGTACGGTGAAGAACGCGGACATGATAGTAGTGTTGAACAAAGGAGAAGTTGTCGAAGTATGATCAAATGTTTTTCAATAACAATATTCTATAAAAAAAAAAATGTATTTTATTTATTTCATAATTTTTTTTTTTTTTAGATTGGCGACCACAAAACATTGTTGACGAAAAAAGGGTTCTATTGGAATCTAATGAACCAACAAACGTCAGACAAAGCTAAAGCCGCGTGATTTTTTACTTGAATTTTATAGGTTTATAACAGATATTATATATTATAATGTTGGTAATTATATAAATAAATATATATATTTTGTTATCTAGACACATTTTGGTTAGTGTTTTTTTTATTTACGTTTTACAAAAAAATTTTTTTAAATATTATTAATTTAAAATTAATAAAACATTGAATATATGTTTACAATATATAAACAACAATCTGTAAATTTAATAATATTTTTTAAACATTTAATCTACCGCCAAAATATTGTTTAAATAAAGTATTAAGAGGATGCCCCACAAACTGTATTTCGACCTCAAAACACAAACGTTGAATCGTTTTTATTTTTTCGATAACTTTTAAACACAATTAATATTTAAAATAAATTACTACATGTTTTGCTTACCGGTTACTTCGTATTAGGGATTATATACTCGTTTCCAAACCACCTATGAGGTAGAGTATTTGGCTCGTTTTTTTTAATGTGGTATCTCCATCTACGATGATGCTCAAATTGTATTTACTGTACAACCACCAGAAATGTGTGGTAGGGGCATTTCAAGCAAATGTGGACTTACGCATAGATGTCGATCCGGGCATAACTTAAGACTAACTTAATGACTAAAATATCCCGGTATCGACAGACTGGGCGGCCACGCAACAAACAATGGTGGACTTACGCATCGAAGCCGACCCGGGCATAACTTAAGACTAACTTATGTCTAACTTAATGACTAAAATATGCCGGTATCGACAGACTTTGCGTATAAGAGAGTACGAAGGAGGTTATCCAGTAGGATCACGGGATAGATATTGGTAATTTGATTTACAAAAAAATCTTGTTGGTGTACAAAATGTTGTGACTTGATTGACTGGACGCAAATTTTAAAGTAAGTAATTCATTTTTACTGAGCAGAAAATGTGAGAAGTTTATGAACTATAACGAGAACGACCACAACGCGAAAGTGAGAAGTTACAAACAAAAAAATTGTTAAAGTAGTTTATAGTTCAATTATCTGAAATGACAACAGTGCTAAAATGTGTAAATTTACTTAAACAAATAAATTATAATTGTGCGGTTGTCCAAAATAATTTATAAAGGGAGAATTGAGAGGAGTAAAATGGCATCATCGTACATAGACCTAATCCACGTAGTACTTGACTTAGTAGAGGGGAGGGGAGGTAATTCAATTTTTTAGATATTTTAGCGTAGGTACCTACTAGGTATCTTTATTTTACTTCCAAGTGAGACCAGAATATATTACTCAGAAATGTATTGATTTAGTTGAAAAAAATATTTCCAATAATTACACTCCCTTTTTATAAATTCGTCTGAGGAATACATTACTTATACTAAATCAAGCACTAGAAAAAGGTCTAGAATTAACAAACCAGTCATATAAAAGAAATTTTTTTTCAATTATTTATTTTGAATTCAATATGTAAGAATTTTACTGAGCAGAGAAACTTAAGTACAATTATTTCGTCTGTAGTTAATTCTGGACCATTACAGCTGTATACAATTAAATTATTATTAATATTTAAAATAAATTACTACCCCTTTTGAGGTTTTGGTCGCCTTCGCAATTTTTTTTTTGAAATAGCTTGAAGTTACGTCCAAACTTATGGTAGAACATGACAGTAATGTTTAAGTCGTTCGAAAAAGTAATTGTTTTAACGTAAAATATATCTGCAGAACGCTTCGACACAATGCATATTGTTCGCTGAAAATATTAAAATCTAAGTATTGACTTTTAATTACTATCAATATACAATTGCTACGTCTTGTTATTCAAACAACAAGCAGAAGTTAACATAGAAACGAATTGTTTTCAGCAGTTAAAAAAAAACTCACATAGAGTCAGCAAAGGTTTGCAAATTTTGTGTTCAAGGAGATTCTATATTATATTATATATAATAAAGGATCTCTTTGAACACAAAATTTGCTTTACATTAATAATATTAATTTAGCACAATTGAATTAATTGTGGTTGATAGAAGGGTGTATTTAGTAGCTCGTCCAGTATGCACATGCGTTTTATTCAAACAATTATTTATTATAAAAATAAACTTGATCAAATGAAAGATGTAAAACTTAATTAATTAAATATTAATGAAAATGGTTTGGAAATTTTTTTAAATAATATATGGCATTGTTACTTTTTTTGACATTACACTGGTGCAGACGACGCAACGCCTTAATTAGTTTACAAAAATAAATTATGTTTTTAATCTTAAATCATATGTATATTATTTCTATTATTATTAGGATTTAGGAATGTGGTTTTACATTTTTTTTTTAATGCAATTTAAGAAGTATAGTTTAGAGGGACGGATAGTTTTATTAAGGCCACGATATGATTAGAGATGCCTACTGAAAGATTTTGACGTACTTTCCAACTTCTTAACGCATAGCCCTAAACATGAGCCTTCCCTTCTCTCATATCACCAGTCACCGGACCCTATTTTCAAACATGCATCAATTTGTTATATACTGTAAAAATAATATAAGGTTTTTTTTCAGATGTTGAGATAATAAGTAAATATGACTCATTTATATGGAATCCCAAATACTTTTTATAATTTATAAGAATTAAATAAAAAAAGTATTTAACAATTAAATTGTTATGTGAAAAATGTTATCAGATTTCAGGACTTATATAGGTCTGTATTATACTTATTAAAAGCGTAATATGAAACCTAACTAAACTTAACATGTTGTTTATAAATTAATAATAATTGTAAATACTATCATTATACAAAATTTAAAAACCAGAACATAAAAATTGAATTTTCATGTAAAACTCACATAGCAAAAAATGCCTGTCTAGATGTAAAGTTTGATTTAAAGTTAAAAAATTAGACTAAAGTAGATCTGATGTACATAATAGTTTTTTATATGTATTTTTATCTTTGGGGAATCTGAAGACGTCTCAATAAATATTTTGTGTAAAGATTATGTATAACACGCAATACATTTGTAATAAGACTTCATAAAAAATGTATTGGAATTTTCTTCCAATGTTACAATTAAATACTGCATGACAAACCATACACTTTCATTTACCCATTTAAAAAAAAAATTATGCGTATCCAAAAGTAAAATAACAAGTTAAATTTTTAATGACCAAAAAATAGCTGTTGATTCAATATTTGATTTTATCGGCATTGTCAATTTGATTATCAGTCAAGAACCGTGACATATCATACAATAATTTTTAAACCGTGCACTATATTTCTTAAACTGGGAACTCAAATTGCCTCATGAGTCATGACGTCATGGAGTGCCGCCGTCAGCGCAGCACGTTGGCTCGCTGGAACTACATAGACATATATAAGTGTGAGTAAATATAAAGAAAAGGTTTTTAATTCACGTTCAAAATCCATGTTTTCTTTTACGCGATTTATATGGTTTATCGTTAATAAATTGAATACTTCTTCAATATAATATAAAAAGTTAAATTCAAGAGATGCATTTCAATTCCAATGCAAAATTTGAAATCTTTAATTTAGGTAAGTTTACTCAGTCAATCATTTTTTAAGTGTTGTCGTTTGATAACATCAATAGTATTACGATTGAAAATGAAAAGTTTTGAACAATTACAAAGTATTGGATTTTATTATTGGGGGTCAAGATGATAAAAAATAATGTTGAAAAATCTGTTACTATCAATAGTTTATGTAATACTAGTACAAAATTTGCTTTAGGCAATAAATTAAAAGGCCTTAAAACAAGATTTATATAAAATATGATCACTTTAATTTATTGTTTTAAATATAAATACAAAAATAAAATTTTACATTTATGAAATTTTGTCAATATTATCAAAAAAGATATAATATTAATATAACATCACACCACTTTAATAAGTCTTATCTAACAACTGGAATGCCGTTTAAATTTTATCACATTTTATATCATAAGACTTAGCTTAACGGCTGATAAACTATTCATAAGAAAAAAAAACTATGCACAATTAAAAAGTGGTTTACATCTAAAAAATAATCTTTTTTTTAAATACAATGAAAGGTTTTATAAGGAACATTATTTAAAACACTAATCATTATGTTAAAAAGTAATTAATTATAATAATTTTAAAAAATATATCCCAAATCCATAATTCAACAACAACGTACATCATATTTTTGGTTTGATTTAATGCGGGTTCAACTATCAGGAACTATATAAATACATAATTTGTTAAAAAAAATAATAATAATACTTAAATTAAGACTCCCAATAAATAATTTACCAAGTAAAAATAATACAAAATCAACAAAATAAAATTACTATCGACGAAAATTAGACAATGTGTGTTCTAATGTCGAGATAGTAATTTTTTATCCTTTGGCATTAGCCGATACGGGTCGGGCTCGTTGCACTAGCCGTTTGCGTAGGGATTCGGTGGGTGCGTGCTGAGTAGGCCTCAGCAGTTGTCGAAAGTCGAATCCTTCAGGTAGCTTGTTTATGTCTGGCGGTGTTAATCTGTGTAAAACAACAATACGATACATTTTATAACATTAATTAAGAAATTTCGACAAAAACAAATAGTGGCAGAAACACGAACCTTAACGGGGAAACCCATTTGGGCCTGTTGGTTAACAGTTGCTTGTTTTGATTGTTGTTGATCGGAGCAAACGTGCTTAACCTAAGTATAATAGTGCACAACTGAGAATTAATGCCGATTATAACACACGTTTAATAAATATTATATATTTACCTGTTTTCTGAATCGTATTTACAATAATTTTCTGTAACAAGTTTTTTTATGGCGTTATGCACTAAACCTTTCTGTAAAAATCATAAATAATAACAAATATTAATTAAGATTAGTTTTTTTTATAATACACACAACTATTTTTGGAATCTAAGAAAACATAAAACAACAAACGTAACATAAAGTGTAACGTTATCAAGCAAAAGGATAAAACTACTTTCGTATTAAAAAAAAAAAAACATCAAGTCACTAATGAAAATAATACTTAATGCTTACTTAAGTTAAAAATATTAGGGTACAAATCAATAAACAAATTAAAAATGTTTAAAAAAAATTGATGCAGAAGAGGCCATTGATATGAAATTGGTGTGTTGTATATTTTGTTGAGAAACTGTTGTGAAACCAATTTATACTTAAGTAAAAAATTATTATTCACATTATCAAATACAGATTGAATTAATACACTATAATTATTTACATCAAGTGTACAGAGTTCTAGATTTTGAAGTTATTTATTAATGAAGAAATGATCAAAGTTGCAAGGAAAGTGATACCTTGGAATATGAAAATGTGCAAGTTTAACAACATGTTTTTTATAATACAAACAAAATAATTTAAATTTATTGTACAATGAATTTTGGCTAATATTTTTGTGTCTAGAGCAATAAAATAATAACTTTAATCCTGTATAGTTGACTTTTTTTCAGTAAATTCCCGAATAGTTAAATAACACTATTACAGACACGGTACCACCAAACTGTGCTGTTTTTTTGTGTTCTAAAAAAAAATGTACTAAATTACGAAGAAAACAAAAACAAAATTAGTGTGATAGAAAACAATCTACGATAATAAATTGCAACCCTTTTAGTATTTGATTGCATGCTAACTACATGCAATTTCCGATAGGGTAAGAACACTTTAGCCGGGACAGTCCAATTTTTCAAAACGTGCCTACCTGACCAGTCGTTTTTATATCTTTCAAGCTATTTAAACAAACAGTTATATCCGTTTTCTTAATGACTTTGTAGAATTCTTTGTTGCGTGCGTAAACCTTTTTTTATTAATTAGTCACATAAGATATTAAAAACGACATATTTGATAAAATATATAATAACTAAGAACTTTAGATTTGATATTTTTACTTACATTTTTCGAAAAGTCTATCATGTTCTTCTCTCTTTCTACTTTCTGTTGCATTTTACACGGTAACACCTTGACGCCGTTTTGCTGTAAAATATAATATTTAGATCAAAATTTTGCAATTACAACAATAGTAAATAGTTATTTGAAACTAATTACTTTTAGTAGTTAAGCGTAACAAATATACAAATTTAAATTTATTACCTGAATATAGTTCTTTTTATTTTCTGCTACGATCAAAAGACTGGTGTTGTTGGTTTGGTTTTTAGGGGGAGAACTTTCTTTTAGTTCTTGACGATAAATAGGCGCTACCTCGCCGATGGGTATATCTCCTTTTGATTTCTTCTTCTTTTGACGCGCCAACCACCCTCTGGCGTGTTTTTGCAAAGTCAACGCTCCCCAAGACATTTGTTTTATCAACATTGTTTCTTTGTAGCGTTTCATCGCCAGCCATCTGCGTACACAACTCTGGACGATCACTATTTGACGTATCTGTAATCACATGCAAACAAATTTTAGAATCAATCAATATTTAAAAAAAAAAAAACTGATATTACTTGTATTTCGTGTAGTTTAGTCAAATGTTCGATGTGGTAATATTTTAAAAATACTTTAGTTTTTCCTATCGCCCAACCATCCAGTTTAAGTTTAATCAACAAATGTTTACAATTGTCTCGGGTAGGAGGAATTTTTTCGTACAAGCGGAATCCCAAAACGCTATATCTGCAAGTTAAAAAATGTATTAACTATTTATTTTGTTACTTAAAACTAGCTGCCAAATAATCCCTTAGATCGGGACGATTTCACTTGTTATCCCCTAATAATAGCTAATAGGTTGTATTGTTTTGTCGCAATAAGGTAAATGTGGACAAAAGGCACTCCGGTAATAGGCTATATTTTTATACATCACACAAGACAAGATTCAAGGATACAATTATTTAATATTTACATAGTAATATAATAAAAATTGATCACAGTGAAATAATATTACCTGTTTACAAAGTCTTTGAAGAGCAACCGATGTGAATATCCGTTTCGTCTGATTTTAATGGTCTCCATTACTCCGCTACATCGTAACTGTGCGACAACTTTGAGCGGGTCAAACTGTTTTGGTTGACGTTGGTCGTTAGGTTTAATGCAGCGTACGAATCTCGGTAGACTCACACCGGAATTATTACATCCCATACGGTGAAGTAATTCGGCCAACGAATGCCTAAAGTAAGTGGCAGCAGTTTGTTGACCCCGAGATTGTGACGCAAGACCCACTAACCCTGTTGGAGAGTCCTAACACAAATTATAAGATTAAAGAAAATTAAAATGTATAAATATATGTATCAGTTTTATTTGTTGTTTTACTTGAGAATAAAGATTGCCGGTTTTGGTGACTGGAGTTTGAAATAGCGCTCGGACGGTTTTGTTGTTCGATTTCCGTAACACTTGAATGGCCTCGATAGCTAATAAATGTCTGTTCTTTTCGAGCATGCCCGTAGCTTGGTAAGTAACGTTACCGGCAAAATGTTTGACTTCAAATTGCAAAGCGTTCGATTTTGGACGGATGTAATAATCGCATCTTATATTACAATGGAATTTTTCTGAAAACAAAAAAAAGTAATCATATTTTATTAGTGTAAACGATCACTAATGGTAAAAAATAATAAAAATCAAGTTATAATTTGATTTTAAATTGAAGTCTAACTATATAAGAAATAATCATAATTATTTAGGATTCTTTTACAAATTGTCCATAATTTCAAATTCATTCTCCCCAGCCGTCATTATGAATTTATTATTTTTGTTATAGTAACCCGAAAACTTAAATGATCATATTTTTTGGTTTTTTAAACAATTAAATATTAAAATAACTTGATTGAAAAAATTTAATTAAAAAATTATACATTTTCCAAAAAAAAAAAAAAATAATTAGGTTTTCTACAAAAAAAAGTTATGTTTAAGGAAGCATACACTTTTAATGGTTGTAAAATGTTTAAACAAATATACTAAAATACATTGCATAAGTTTTTCGAAAAATTTACAAGGCCTTGCTATCGTCCGAAATTTATGGGTTTTTTTGGTCTAATTTTATTCCGTTAATATATACACAAAATTAAATTTATTGGCTTAGTATGTAAAATTGTTTCATTAATTTTATCAATTGCTTACCAACTAAAGACCGATCAGTCGCTCTTGGAAATCTACTCTCCTCGTCTAGCAACGCCAAGAGGCCCATAGGCCTACTTACAAGCATGTCCAAAACAGGTCTGTTATCACAAAAGCCCACATGCTGTACAGGCACTCCTTCAGACTCGTATTCCTAAACCATATAACATAAAAAGTTAATGAAACGCAAACAGATATTTATTTGTTTATTTTCATTAGTACTTACGGCTTGTTCCAACGCAAAAACGTGTTGGTTAAAGAAAAACTGAAGCTGTTCGTTGGCTATATTTATGCAAAGCTGTTCGAAAGAATTATATGTGAAATTTTCAAACCCGAATATGTCTAGAATTCCAATTACGTTGTATTCGCCCCTAAAAATGTATTTTAATTTTTTTAAAAAACTACTAAGTAAATAATAAATGATCAAATCATTTTACCTATTGTTGTGAAAAGACAACAAACTGTTGATCGAGTTGACCAACCAATCAAACAACCTGCTGTACAAGGCGCGAGCAATAGCATCTCTCGTGGCAATGGCTTCCGATACGGAATTATTTCTTTGAATGATTTCCCCTCTCGTCACAACACTGTTCACACTCAAACATTCCAATAGGTCTGAACTCTCAATGTTCAAAAGACATGAAGCTAAAAAAAAAAAAAGATTATTTTTTGGAAATGATTTTAGGTTGGATGTCATTTCACAAGTTAGGGACGCTTTTATCGCTAGTTATAAGAGGGTCGATTTTTAATATTTGAATCGACTAATATGTTAAAGGCTAAAAACATGATCACTCTTCACAATGTTTTTCGCGTAAAGAAAATGTATTATAATTTACAATTTAACAAATATTATGTTAAATTGTAACAGTTTAAAATTTAAAACTTAACAATATTCTGTAGAGATTAATCAAATTACTTTACCTCTATGTATTGGTGTCAAGTCAATAACAGTGCTTTTATTATCAGTATTGTTGTCGGTTATTATTTCACCGAATTCAATGTCACCCAAATGTAAGATAGCCGCTAATATGCAATATATTGAATTTACTTCTTCGTCTTTAAAGCCCACTTGTTCGAACGCGTTTTTTAACTGAGCAAACTTGCCAATATTGTTCTATAAACGAGTTGAAATTATTTTTACACTAGACTGTTATTATTCATTGAAGAAAAAAAGTAAAAAAATATGTACAAGAGATCACCAAATTCTTACTTGTTTCGTTTTACTGTCTTGTCGGTCGGAAGGCAGATATGTGTGTGCATGTCGTAGTTCTCTATCTAAATGGAACTCTTTGAGTCTTTTATCGTGTTCCAATCCATCATAGATATAATAAAATGCATGGAAATTACTTTCCCCGCTATAAAAGGATTCAATATCGAGTTAATATTATTTGTAGTGGTACCTAAATTTAAGTATTTAAATATTACTTTGCTTGTTGAATGACCCTGGACTGTTCCAACAGATAGACCGAAACTCTGGCACCGGTCAACTGTCCGGTTTTTGTCATGCTGAGTTCAAGAAACTTGCCGAATCTCGATGAATTGTTATTAATTCCGGTTTTTGCGTTTCCAAAAGCCTCCATGATCGGATTCATCTGCAGAATTCTCTGTTCAAGATTTCTGTTTGGCGCCTACAAATTACGAGTACCCGAGTTCAATTATCAATCAATTAATGATATATTAAATTTAAAATTATCGTTTATTACCTTGCCGAGGTACACGAGTTGTTTCAGCAATAAGTTGCCAGATTCAGTTTTCCCAGCACCGCTCTCACCGCTGATCACAATCGATTGATTAGACTTTTCGTGCAACATAAACTGATATGCGGAATCGGCTATGGCAAATATGTGAGGAGGATACGCCGCTCTTAACTGATTAGAATACTTTGTTTGTTCCTGCATTAATAAATAGGAAACCGTTAGGTTGGGTTGGGTTGGCTTAATTTAAATAAAGTTTTCCTTACCGCCGATGTATACAACGGAAGCGATGTAAAAGGGTTTATGGCTAACAGTATATCTCCAATATAAGTATAGATTAAATTCATTTGGTATCTTTTCTTCAGTTGGTTAACAATTCTCTCCTAATAAATACAAAAAATAAAACATTTTAAAACTCATATCGTATCTAAGTTGTCAAAAATCAGTAAAAGAAAAGCTCGATTTAGACTTTTTCTATAGATACTTAAACCCAATAAAGTTTATATTTAATGGTTAAGAGGACGCTATATGTCCATTATTTTAAGTGCAAAACTATTTATTTCATAAACTACCCTATTCATTTTGTTTGTAGTTGTGTTAAATTTCATAATTTTGAAAACATATAGATAGGGGTAGACTAATTATTATTTGAAATGATTCTTTTTATTTATAAATTCATCTAATGTAATGAGTTAAAATTATTTATGTTTTACATTTTTAACGCAAACGAAAGACTTGTGTTGTCTGAATTCAGAAAAAATGTTTCTATTTTAGTTTTTGTCACAAGACAATTGTAGAGAAAACAACAACTATTGAGGAGAACTGTACAACAAAATTTTTTTTTTTGACCTTGAGAGTTTTTTTTTTGTAGCACTTTTGGGTATTTTAAAAATTATCCCCAGAGTCGTATAAAACAAAAATTAATTTTTTTGTTTTCAATCTAACTTAATATACTGTTACAGATTTATCAGGGCTTGGTGATCAGCATTCAGCACTATTTCAAACGAAAAATACCTGCCATTACAACGTGATGACAAATCTTACCTCGGACAAGCTGTCGAGTGCAGCAAGGTCGTCCACGTAGATGGTGGTAGGAGGAATTTTTCGCTTCGTCTTCAGTTTCCCGTGCTTGGTGGTGACGTCCGGGTGCTTTTGTAGCCGGCCACTGACTTCTTTTTGGTAACGAATTTCGGCTTTGAGCTCCTCGCGCACCCGCACAATACACTTGGACCCATGCACGATGAACGGGTCGTGGATAAGCAAGGCCGAAGTCGGTCGTTGCTCGAAGTCTTTCACCAAACACCTGCCCACAAAGTGCGTAAGCTTCGGAGCGTCCGGCCGGGCCGACAAGGGCAGCACAGGCGGAGGTTCCCTAGGGATCTGGAATAACGCCCTCATCGGGTGCAGTCCGCTTAACGGGGGATCGCCGACGGCCAATTCAATGGCGGTTATGCCCAAAGACCAGATATCACAACGGCTGTCATACGAAGAGTCGCGTTGTTGTTCGCAAGCAATTACCTGTTTAAGAAAAAAAAAAAAAAAATGTTTTTTTTTTAAAACATCAAATGTACGATTTTTTAATACGGGATAGACCGTATTGGATATTTTGTCAATATCCTGGACGAGTGCGATTTGTTTTCTCTAAACTCATCTCGAACATCTCGTTTAACACGTTTGGCAGTTAACAGTTATGTAAAATGTAAGAGTTACGAGAGTCAAAGTCGTAGCGTTACCTATATACTTATATTTAAATCGTCATCTATTGGGACATTATCTTGCGAATCGTGTAGAACAATATTTATAAATGCGCATAAATAATATATATGTTCATAATTGATCAGTATAATAATATGCTCACACAGCGACACCTTTCTCCAGAGTCTAGACACAGACATTATAGCGCCAGCTACAAAATAATTATGTAAATTGAGTTCCTAAGGACCAATGTAAATTATTTGGCAAAAACAAAAATTAAACCGCAAAATATGTAAATTAATGCGCTCTTGTAAAAAAATGGCATAATAAAAGTCATAATGAAAGGATGTTTTAAAAAAATGTATACTGAGCTGTACAGAAAATAAAAACCTTGAAACTCATCTGCCAAAAGTTAGATTATCGTTCAGGTACACGACACAGAATTATTTTTTTTGGATTTAACTCAGTGGCATGATTATGTGTTGAAAAAAAATTAAAAGTTTGGTGTAAAAACTAGCCAATTCAAAATTCGTAACTTTCTAGGGTAATAAAAATAAAATTATATATTGGGATTATTTCATTTTCCTTAATGGTAGAAACAACACATTTTGTGGTAACTTTGCAGAGAATAGTTGACTAGTCGGTTGTTGTACTAAAATATAGATAATTTTTCCATGACATTTTTTTTTTAACTGGATTTGTCTGGTTTTATACCAAATATTTTATAGTTTACTTATTACAAGAAAACTAGGTATATAAGTGTATCATTTTAGTTTTCTAACCTTTGTTTTTTTTATAACTAAAAAAAAAATTAAATACTAATTTTTTAGTACTATTGTAAAAACAAGCGTTTAGAATTTTTATAAATGTAAATGATTTTTTTCTAAAATGGTAAATTTTATGTGTCATATTTTGGTGCGACTGTGACGGAGAGCAGAGAGAAAAATGTCAGACTTTTCTCTCCTCTCAATAAGTATCAATGCTTAATAGAGGCAAAATTCGTATTATGTTTACACTTAATACTTCATTCATTACAATATATTGTGTATTTAATTTACGACATTAGTAATTATATTAACCACCAAAATAAATAGAACGAAAACAGTTTTAATATATCGTTAGTTATTTAACGCGGTTAATAATTACATATTATAATTTATTCATTATTATCATGGTTGAATAGACGGATTACATAAATCGGGTAAAATTCTACACCTAAGCAATTCTATCAAGTACTTTGTGGTAAATGCGTAGGGGGTTTGATCAACAACACAGATGGTCCAGAAAGACTTAACGAGCTGTTGTCTGTGAAATAGAATACAATAAGCGAAGAACCCAAACCGAATCCGTTAGGCGTGAACAAGTACATAAATGTAATTGTCCGTGACATCAAAACTCGAATTTATACATAATTGTAGATTATGCCAATTGGCAGTTAATAGTACATGTATAGTATAAAAAAAGCTGATCTTCAAACAGAGGGAAAAAAATTCCACACATATATATATATATTTTTTTTTTTTAAACACTCATTCTCATATGGTTAACGACATGTCTACAGTTACAATATCCACAGAAGGACTGTACCCATATAGGTATCGCCTTTAACAAAGTGTAATGAATAATTAATCATTTATAATATATACTTGTTCGCTATGTATTGCAAATATAGCACAAGTGACACGGATATCGTTAACTTTTTGTTAAAAAAAAAAAAAAAACGTTACATTATCTTAATTTAGCTCAATCGAATATTTGGAATGCTTAAACCTGGGCATTTTTTTTACATAACAAATAATAATTTGAAAGTAATGAATTATACTATCAGTACATTTTTATTTGACTGTTTCTAATAACCTGTTATTATTATTATTACCTGAGTTTTTAAAAAAATGTTTTAGTAAAATATATTTATTTGATTTGTCTTATTTGAACTTTTATTCGACTAATATTTTTCTAATGTATTATTTCCATTGTATTTATTTTACGAATTTTAATTTAAATAAAAAAATGCAATGCCCAAGTTTGGGAGCAGGTAAAGTTTCAATTAAAATTTGCATTTAAACTAAAGTAAAAAGTTTTCTAATTAGTCGAATCTATTTGTACGTTTACATTAAGTGTAACAAAAAGTAAAACTTTTGTTTTTTATTTGACTCACTTCTTTGGTTCTTTGATTTTAAATTGAGTACGGGCAACCGTTAGGGAAATAGCAACCGGGTCAAACCGAACCCTAAATCAAACGATTTATAGTACAATATAACTTTCTCACAGGATTAGTAGTTCGAATGGAGTATTCTCTTAGCATTATAACAAATATTGTGATTTTTTTCGGTAATAACTATAGTAATATAGTACAAAGACGGATAACCAATTATTATTAATGCGAAGCGACAAAAAAAAATGGCAGTGCTCGCCGCAATGCACTCGATTTGGTCGTCACGCAAATGCGTTTTCCGGACTTCTGAGGTAGGTATATTGGACGTTTGTCTTCACAATGACTACCAAAACGTCGGTTTGCGCTATTAAAATCGAATTTCGGAGTTTTGGACCCGCGACCTAATATACCTAACCGTTATTAGTAGATCTGACGGCCATGTCAATAGGTACTTTTAGAATTAAATCGACCAAATTTGATGGCCGTCGAGCAAAAATAATTTTTAACTTATTTTCTTTTTTAAATTAAATTCGCCTTGTGCACAGAGGCAATTACTTTGTACGCACAGACGTCGCATGGTATGGCATCCATATAACGGCGTGAGAAAGAATGTTTCACATAATAATATTATACGATTGAAAGTAGCTGACGGTAAACAAAAACAACGACGGCTCGCAGGCTGTTTATCTATTTTACTGTTGTCTATTATTATTTATCTTTTTTCGCCACCATAAACGCGTATTGGAAGTAAACCGAAGCAAAAAAAAAAAAAAAAACTGGTCCTCCAAGCTACCTTCTATTATAGAAGTACTACCAAGACACGCTAACATATCAAACATATTATATGCTGCGATATAACGAGCAACCACAACCGATTGACCTTTCTCTCACTATAATGTCATGTCTTCCTTCCGGCTGATCGTTTATCGCACGGTCTGTTCTGCCGACCAATCATTATTGTTCGCCCGGCTCGTATAGAAATTGGAAATACATAAAACATCCGATTGCCAAAATTATGACCGTCATGTACTGTAAGAGAGGTTTTTAATTTTTTCATCACTCAATGCCGCGACCTTACGCAACTGTAAGTTGAGAATCTGATAAACGTAAACAAATATAATTATACTTTATAGCGTTATCGTCGGCCAAGTCAGGTTATGTTACGTATTGTGTATCAGTATATGATATTTCGTATTATTCGTTTGACTTTGATGGGAGAGCAAGAGGTCTCAGGTCGGAGAAAACGCCGGAATAGGGACGGGCCAGAGAAATTTCCGTCTCGGACCACAACCATGCGCACACAAGACACGGTTTTGTGACTAATGAACGCACAAATGTATTTGTTGATTATAACCTTATTATGGGCGTTATGGAATTACTATGTGTTTAGTTTCGGTAGTTTCTGTTTTTTTTAATTTTTTATCATAATCATAATCACAAAATTATAATAAATTATACAAGCGAGAGTCGCGTTTTTAATTTCTACGCGTTTTGAATATCGAAAATGTCGTCGAAACAAACAGACCAGAAAACGAGTTTTGCATAGAATATATACATTTTTAATTGTCAACATTGTACCGCGAATCATTATTTTTCGTTTGTGGATTCGGCCGTGTCGTTTATTACATAAATACACTTAGCGCATTCAAGGAAATACTCCATCGTGAAAAACGAGTATACAAATCACAAAGCAGACAATTTCTACCAAAAAGTTTATCCCGATTTGGTTTTTAGTTTTTAAACAGAAGAAAAGAAAGATAAAAAAATCGAACAAATAAAAACTATAACGTGCTATGTCACTTTCTAGTTTCTGAAACATCTTTATTTTTACCAATTTATTTTTTTGTAAATTAAGTTATAAATTCGCAGTTTTACTAATTTGTTTAGGTTTTATAATTTTCTAGTAAAAATAAAAAATTAGCCTTATATAATAATTTTGTATTCACGTAGATAAATTACGTAGTACCACTAGATCAATTAATATTTAATAGATCTGTGATATTGGTGTAAAGGTTTTATTTTAAGCAAACTGCTAGTTTTAAATATAACTGGCATATGCATCAACAAAATAATAACTGCTACTCTAACTCATTAACTTTGTTACATCTATTCTAACTTTTTGTTTATACTTTGTAGCATTCCACCTCTAATTAACAATCACCAACACACAAATAAATAAGTTAGCTTATTTCTTTCAATTGTTTTTTTAAAAAAATGTTCTCTATAAATGCGTATTTTGTCTGTTAAATCTTAATAAAGCTTTTTCGGTTCCTATGAATAGACTTATTACGACGATAGGCGACCGCTAAAAGTCAAGAGCAGCAACTGTCGTTATTGACAGTTTCTGTACAAATATGATTGACGGTTCTCTCTCCGATGATGCTTGATAATATTATACATCTAACAGTTTGTGTAAGCTAACTGACAAACAACCAATGTATAGGCACTAAGTAATGTCTGTATATACTAATAATCTACTTTTCATCCCAATTATTTTACACGCCTCGATTTGACCAGTCGACACATTAGTGTTAAACAAATTAAAAAAATAAACATTAAAATTATATACACAGTCCGATGCGACTAAACGAGTTTTATAGAAAAATAAGAACATTGTAGGAGTTTCTATGCACACTAATAATTTAAGGGTCATTCAACTTTCACTATC